TCATGAAAATGGGATTAAGGAATCCTGAACAGTTGTAAAAAATCAGACTAATTGAAAAAGCCAATCTTCATTTTTCCTATTTGAAAAGTAGAGCTATCTTGACCATTATTATCTAGAAATTCTTCTATAAAATGCTTACAATAGTAACTATGATCAGGTTTAGCCACCTCACAGCATTGCCTTTATTATGCTTTAAGAAGCAGGCTGTAGTTCTCACAGCAAAATGCCTCTAAGAGAAGRAGCAGTTCCTGCAGACTCGGGTTTATTCGAATATAACTAAAGAATGCATACCTGACTTTATACTGTGTTTTTTACTCAAGCATTTAAAGAAATCAGACCATCAAGGCCCCCATCAAGGKGCAATGTGTTATTTTGCCTCTTACAAAATGAATATTGAAGGATTCATTTGGGAAAGGGTAGGAAAACTGTMATTTAAACCAAATAATAGCAAGCATTTGCCTCACTTCAAAGATGTCATTCACGRTTTTCAGAGTCAAGGTAGTACATTGATTATATTACTAAGACAAGGCAAGAGCAGCCACACTGAGAAAGAAGTGACAAARCATCTACATGGTTAATTATAATTAAGAAGACAATACCATGAGAATGCAGTTACATATGTACAGCAAATACTTTATGTGTGAGGGAAGATTGTCCAAACAAAGTACACTTGGGGGAAATAAAAGCCCAAGCACCTGGTATGGGTGAGAAAATACTAGAAGGTAAAAGTCTGCAGCAGGTCAGACCAGAAATGCAATGGAATATAGCAGGAGAACACAAGCACCTCCTCTCCTCTGTTTGCCTCGTCTATTGGCAGCTGTAGAAACAGCATCCACCCAATAACCAAGGAAAATCAAGTTCTTGTAATTACAATTCCGACAGGATACCTTGGTACGGTTCACAAAAATATCACATAATACAATCGATTTAAAAGCTCGGGGGAAATGTACCTCAGGAATACCAGCTGTGAAAGGAAATACACAGGAAATCACAGAAGTCAGACAAAGCAAGGCCAGCATGGTCCTGTCATTGCTTTTTTTYGGTTACATGTCTCCAAAGGAAGTTATTCAATGTGTACATTCTACTGCAGAAACTGAAATACAAGACAGATGTCCTTTAGAATATAGCAGCTTTCTGCAAACATGAGCTAAACCAATGATTCTCATAGCAAAGATCACTGGGATGGACATCAAGAGATCACAGGTCCTCTGGCAGGCTGTGTCAGTGAGCTGGAAATGCAGAAGCTAATGCATTGAGGTGATAAACCACACGGACCTCTGGCAACAGAAGACGTAAACAGAAATCTGTCACTACCATTTCTCAGAGAGTCACATCAGCTGCAGCTGAAACAGAGAAACTTTATCTCCTGCCAGTCCTTCTGGTGCAAAGTAAAACAGGATTCCTACAAACACTGCCAAACAAATGTGAGTATTTTAGTGTGGCAGCAAARGCTTGGGGGTCACCTGTTCCAAAAAGGGCCAAGAAAAGCCAACTGGCAGTTTTTTTAAATCCTCTGCTCCTTCCAACCTCCTCAGAGAAAGACGACCTGCTTCTGGTCTGCCAGAGTTACCAGACCACTACATATAGTGATTTGGRGGAAGAAAAAACAAGCACAAGCCTGACAAATTTTCCAGGTGGAGAAAGGGCAGCAGAAAAAACCTGCCAGTGCTGAAGTCCTGTAGTCCTCACCGGATGCAACTTCTTTTCCTCCTCTGGAAGRTTTATCCTTTTCAGGTTTGTATTCTCTCTTTCCCAAGAAGCCACCTTCAACATAGTTCATTTCCCAAAGATTTTGTTCACTAAAGGCATGGCTATCTAAGGCATCTGGAAGACAAGTACAGCAGAGAGACACAACTAAAGATACCAGACAGAAAAATGTATCACATGAACTGATGAGGAAAAGAGAGGCCACGCTACTTTCTCAAAACTCTGCCTTACGACCAATTGAAATGTATGGGTGGCAATCTCCTCTTGATCTTGACAATCAGTTGCCAAACTACTTTGATTCAAATGTCTCTCATCTGCCAGTTAGAAGAAAACACAGATGTTGTACACTTGGGTTACTACTCGCATACCTGAGCAGCTTGTAAAAAATGAGTAAGAGTGTGTAAAATGCTCATCCCCTCACGCATGCACGCAAACAGCAGCTGCTGTGGGCACCCTGTACAGGGTACAGCCCACGCTGGCAGAGCAGGAGGGGGAATACAAAAAGATATACCCTACTTAGGAATGCTCACGTGCTGTGTTAAGTACTGTGATAATTAAATCGTTAGTCACATTGACAAGTGGGTGGAAGAGGCTGGAAAYGTCTGATGCAGTTTGCTACAGGCAATTATAGATTTACCAGTGATGCATCTGTCACACACAAAGATGGGCTCAGACCCAAGTATCTGCAACAGCTCAACTTTAGCCTRTTTCCCAGAAGTGAAATGGAACAACACCAACCCTGCATCCACAGTGCTGTAAAACAACCAAGACTCACTACCAACCTACCGCATGCAAGCAGCTGTATGATTTYACACACTCAAAATATTCATCTGGGAAAGAACTTGCAGAGGCTAATCCTTATCTAGAGATCTGGGGATTCCCCTTCTTGAAATTCTCCCTGGTAATACTAWCTAGTTATCTAGGATTTCCGTGTCCCCAGTTTTGTTATGCGACATATCTCACTTGGCTACTGTGTAAGGAAAGCTTGYTGACAGTATTTTGGTAAATACCTAACCATTCTCCTGCCACTCACATAAAACCAACACATCTCCAACAATTTTCACTTTCCTCTGAAATACAAAACTGAAAGCAATTCTGTTTGTCTTAATGAACTAAATTTTATACAGGAGCTGACGRTGAAAAGCCGGATCTTGAACCCTAGAGCACTAGCCATGTTTCACTACCAACCTCAAAGTTCATCTACATGGAGTGATATAATGAGGAAGTGGGGAGGGAGAAAGGCAAAAAATGGTAACATGTATTAAGACACCTCGCTTGCTGTGCTGATCCCACTCCACAAAGAAGCCTGTGCATCCTTCCCAAATCTAGAATTGTTATAGAGAAGCCTAAGGCTTGTGGCGAGTTCATATACTTGCTGCTTCCTGCAACCAACTTACAGGGAACAGCAATCTGTGGTAGCATGCACAAAGAGGACAAGACTCATAGCAACAAGGTGAGGTGGGTTGTTTTTCCCCAAAAACTTTTTATTTGAGAAATCTGACAAAGTCCCCCAACCAGTCATTACAGGTAAATCCACACCAGTCCCCCACACCTGCTCCCCAGTAACCAGAGCAGTACAGTTAAGATCAAAACACAACACCAGAACGATGAGAGTGTAACAGTCACCCASGGAACTTATGGCCTCACCACCATTTTTAAGATAACTTTGTATTCAGGTAAGGACAGTGAGAGGGTATCGAAACAGACAAGACCAGAAAAGCCTCTTTCTTATACTTTCTAGYTACATAAAAACAAAAGCAAAACCTTAACACATCTACAAGCTTCAAACTGTAGRACCTAAAACTACCTTCAAATGACTTCTGTAATCCAGTCCTGTGGCACTGCTGCTGTTCTGCACTGTAACAGCTTTCAAAAACATACAAGGTTAAAATGGATCTAAGGGCAGAGGAGTGGACTTAGGATCCTAATATGGCTTTATCAAAAACCAAACAAATTAAAAGCAATCTAAGTACTTACCAGTGGAACTAAATACTCCAGGAACTTGGGAATGGCAAAGAACTAATGTATTTAGATGACAGGAGATCAGCTTTACATCCTTTTTTCCATTGCCTCACCCTGGACAACTGTTTCCTTCCTAGCAATAAATCAGACTCAGATCAGAAATTATAAAATTATGCTTTTTTGAAATTGCTAGGCTGGGCCTAGGGCCATGACAACCCAATCCSTAGACAGAAGAGTCTAGACACAGGACACCACAATGCTGTGCTGCTGAACCACTTGCTTTGAAGGAATGTAGAGATGATGAAAGAATTGTTATCACTGGCTAAAAACTGCAGCAGTTTAAATTCAGGAAGTTTAACTGCCTACTTTTTCCCAGCCTGGTTTATTTAATATGTCATCTGGACAGCTGAGAAATGATGAGAAGCTGTTGGCACTTACTGTCTAGTACTGCACAGGAAAATAACAGTTCTGTTGAGGGCACAGTTCAGACTGCACCTGATGTAGAATTAGCCTATTCCTACACTTGTACTGCCTTTTTTTAGTTCATCCACATTCTTCCRACTCCTCTGCCACCCTGCACAGCACTCTTGTATCGTCAGACCTCTATGCAGGGTACAGGTCCTCATGCCTTGAGCATTAGCTCACTTTGCTCTGAGGTTTCAAAAAATGGCATTCAGCCAACTGCCTGGACAGGTAAGAAGTCTCCTGCTCAAAGTAAGACCAAGTTTCCTAGCATGACCTGCTCCCACCTGCTCTGTGACTGTATCTGACCGAGGCCTTCTGCACAAAAAGCTGTTCCTGACCAAGCCTTTCAGGAAAGCTGCTGCACCATTTCAAAACAAGAGGCAAATCCAAGACAAACATGTGGGGGAAGGGTGGGATCAAGGCTGGATAGCCTATTTGAGCAAAGCAGGCTTCTTTCCAAGCTCAAACACACTTCCAAGCCTGCCTTAGAAGGCTCCCCTTCCTCCAGGCTGAATCACCATATGCTCAAGTGCTCTGACCTGTCAGCACAGAGACACCACCTCCCACAGGGAGAAACACAGAGGTCCACGACAGGGACCAAACCTTGGAAGACCCTCTATCCCCAGGCCCTGCTGTAATGATGAATCCTATGGCTTTGCACTCATCTCCATTTGCTCGAGGCTTAGATCCCAGCTGGTGAGGACAGGGAAACCCCAACTCTGCCCCAGCGTGACCTGCATGCCACCTAAAGAGCACAGCGGGGTCAAGTGGTTCTGAGTAACACTGCAGTCACARACAGATGGGAGACATCATCAAGCCATGATTATAAAAGGAGAATAGACAGCGCAAAAAACTTGCTGCAGCTGTCATGGAAACATCTTTTTTTATTTAATCGCTGCCCCAGGAACACCCAAATCCATCACAACCTCCCCCACCCTCAACATTCAACAGGATTTCACAAGTCCCTCATTGCCTCCAATGTTTAGGCTCCCCTCCCCCTTTAGGGTCCAAGTTCCTCCAGAAAAGCTCCAGTCAGTGGGTATCATCTGTGAGATGGCTCCAGGGGGCCAYGGCTAGGTCCAGCGGTGTCCAGCTGGGTCTGAGAGGAGGGGGAAGAAGATTTACTCCTTTACTCAATCAGCTTCTTGGCCTTGAAGAAGCGACGCAGGTAGAAAACTTGCCAGGTGGCCAGTCCGATGAGACAGCACATGGAGAAAATGCTGAAGTACAGAACTCGGGTGTTTGTTGACTCTGAAATAGACAACAAACCACTGCACCTGAGTCTGGCATCACAGGATACAGCAAAGGACAGCAAAGTTCCCCGGATGGCAAAGTTCCCAGGACAACCTCTCCTTCCCCAGGCAAAAGCAAGATAGCATAYAGCATGAAGGCAAGGGCACCTGAGAACCAGCAGCACTTGAGAATAAAAGCAGAGGGAACAATGAGAAGGATAATAAGGGGGAACAAGGWGAAGCTGTGACTAATAGGCAACATTAAATGGAACAGAATAATTCACATTAGGAATAGAGACAGAAAGAAATGGTTTCTAGAGACAGAACAAGACTCAAGTGACTGATGCAGGTTTTCCTTACTAGGAACAGAACAGACAGAGACCACTATAATTGCTTGATCTCCAGATGCTGTCCTAGTAACACATTTAGCAGAAATAAGAGGTTTCAGAGCTCCATCCATCTGAAGCGACCGTCACTCACCATTTGTGTCCCTCATCTCCTCTTCTCGTTTCTTCATATAGGCAAAGTCATTAACGATGGACTCTGAAAGATCTTCCAAGCGCCTCAATTCTACTTCCAGGGGTTTCAACTTCTCCACTTTAGCAATCTAGAAAACAGAAGARTCAAATCACTGAACCAAAACCAAAAGCTCCCACATGGGTTTTTACTGCCAGYTTGAACCACTCCTCCCCACACACTTCAGATCTGGGGCATCCTTCCCCTCAGGAAATAGCTCTACAAGCCAGAAACTACCACTGCATAAAACACTATCACTTCTCCCACCTGTTTTCTGAAACACACTTTCCTACTACCCCTCCTACACAATGGAGGAGCACAGCATGCATACAAGCACACTTCTTTCGTATTCAACCTCATGTTAGTTTATTCACAATTGGATTCTGAGGAGTGGGTAAAAGATCTTGCCACATGACTAAACCTCCAGTGAACGCAAATCACGGACTGAGATACAGGTGACTAACACACGCATACAATACAGCTCCACAYGCACACAGGCAATTAGCACCGAGACTCCCTTCGCTAATACCCAGAAAGCCCAGGCAGCCTGATTCCCAGCAGCAGTGGTTTCATTATTCCACAAGAGCTCAGGGCTTTTATCCTTCGGACGTGACCTCCAGAGCAGCACAGGCTCCTGGCAGGGACCCCGCGGCCACCAAGCGCTGCCACTGCCTCGCGCCACCGGGTGGCGCTSCGGGGCCGCTGCGGAGCCCAGCTCCCCTCGGGATCCACCCGCTACTGACGGGAAAGGCTGGSTCAAGCAGGACATCGCTTCTGTGCACAGCCCCAGCCCACGGTCCCACGCTTACTGTCCAAAACCAAAAATACACAGCAAAATTCACACAGCAGCAACTGTTTAAGCTGAATGTGTAGACGTATCTCCGCCCCAAGCCGTGGCTATAACCTGACACACATTACATAAAACCTGTGATACAAGGACACTCAAACGGAGTAAATGCAATTCCCACCATGCTCTAGTGTATGGTCTGGGTAACCAGGTTCTTGCACAGAATTTGTCACTATTACCAACAAGTGAGAGGCTCCTGCCACGAAGGCCAGATGCTGTGTCCCCAAGTAATGCAGCAGAAAAAAGATGTGTTACAGAAAACGAAGCACCTACAGCTCACCACCAGTCTCAGCCTCATAGCATTATTCAGATATAAGCTGCATGACAGCATCCTTTGGTGATCTGTGACGAAAGGCAGGCAACAGGGYACCCAGCATGAAGGTATCCCCAAAATGCCACTTCCAGAGGCAGCTGTCTGGGTGTCAGAGCCAGAACTGAGGCCAGAACTAGCTAATCAGCCATTCCACTGAAGGGTCTCCACATGACACATGTATCCTGGCAAGCAGCAAGCCATCAAACAATCATCTGAGCATTTTTATGCTGAGGCAAGCTGTATAACTCTGCTGTATGACGCTGCCAGCACAGCAGTGTCAGTTTGGAGTGTGTTTGTGAGGAGGGGTAGGAAGCAGTAGGTTAACCCCCTCCTGCTCTCTAGCCAATAGGTTGTAATGATAAAACCCTGTGGCCTGGACACATATTTGCCAGCAGAGAGCTTTGCTGAGAAACTGGCACCAGTGTCTGTGTGCCTATAGCCCAGATTCTGCTGACACTSCTAGAGCAGCACATCTAAAACAACAAAAGGTCTCAAGCAGCTCTATTAATAAGCTAACCTTTTACTGACCAGCTCGATTATTTTCCTTAAGGGCTCATTTCCTCATGCACAGAAGTCTACAAGGGGTCCACTGGGAAAAACCAAGGTTTATCTGCTCCATCTGCATTCCTTAAACTGTTCTTACTAGCTACAAACATCCAATAGTTACTTTTAGTCCTGCATGTATTCCAAGATGTGTACCCTGAATCAAAGAATCAATTTGAGTGGAAAAGACCTCTGAGATMAAGTCCAACCTACAACCTAACACCACCATGTCAAYTAGACCACAGCACTAAATACCATGCCCAGTATTCCTTTAAATACCTCAACCTCCCTGGGCAGTCCTGGAACCTTTTATCCCTAATGAAAGCCAATATGCACAGCTGATCCAACASATTTTGTAAAAAATCCCACCAAGCATCTGTGATGGTGGAACATCATCATCCTTGAAAGAACACCTGGAGCACAAGAACTGAGACAACAAATCCAGTGAGCTTCCCAGGGATCACTAAAGCTTTGCCAAAGCCAAACTCTCTTCCTAGCATAAGAAGAGACTCACTATAGCCAAGAATTGACAAGGAGTAGCTGATGTGGAAAAGAACCTAGATCATTGAGAATTCTCAGCGCTATCACCAAACTTTTCACTTTTCCCTACCTTACTCTCTACTTAYTGAATGGATAAAGTCATTCCTCCCAAACTCAGATAACTAAGGTATGACATTGCAGTTAGATTTTCTAATCCATTTCATTATGCCAGCTGTTTTGCTCCAAAAATGTCTGGATCCATGAAAGTTTATGAAGCCAGACTTGTATCAGTGACCCTCATTCAACTCCCTGAATCAAGTCTCCTTGCAGCAATTCAACAAGAAGAACTGGGGGTGCACACAACAGGTCACTGTACCCAACAACAGATGAACATCACAGGCAAAAGGGTCAAAAAGGCTGCAACTCCAGGAGAGAAACCTGAGCAACATTCCTGCCTTCTGAGGCCTTACAGCAACCTGTCAAATCAAAACTCACTACTACTACAGCAAACTGAGAAGAGAGAGGGTGGGAAAAAAGAAAATACACTGCAAAGCAGTGTTGCTAAACATCTGTAGTAGCTGTACAAATAATAAATCAGTTTGGGTCCTTTGCAGACATGCTGTTCAGYAAGTTTCAATACAGTCTGCCACTCTGAGAGGTCCTCACCAGTCAAGGATGCTTGCCAGGGCTGCCAAGATCTGCACTTGGTATCAAGTAGGACTGCAAGTCCGAATTCTTCTTTCCTTGTGTTTGTCCATGGACCTTTTCCCTCAATCTAACTACATTCACGAGCATAATGGATGCATTTATTCCAAGACAGTTTTACAGTAGAACCAATGAGTGTGTAGATGCACAGGCACAGACATAAGAGAACCTTTCACACACACACAAGAGAACCTTTCTCCACAGCAACGATGCTTTTAGGTAGCATTACAGAAATGTAACTTTCAGCATATGCTGTGGGGTGGCATTTAAAGGGATTCTGTAAATATGGCCAACATAATCCTCTCACGGATTCATCCCATAAGATTTCAACGTTTTGTAATCCCTCAGCWGCAGGCTGGCAGCTGGCCCCATGACTACTCCACTATTCCCTGACCCCAAGCACATTTTCACTCTCCATGTAGGATGTGCTCCACACTGACTTAAGCCATGACTGCCCTGCTCTTCCCTAACCCCAACCACCATCTTACACTCCAAACAGGAAGTGCTCCCAACCAATTTTAGCCACACAAGACCAGGTAGCTCAAAGTTCAAGGGATATAAAAACACCAACATGACCATCTCAGAAATTTGTTAGTTTTCTAACTGGAAACATGCACAGCCTCCTCTGCTACTCATTCTCCTCCCTAAGGCATCTCCCATGCTCTTATGCACAGTAGACACAACAATCATTTCTACAGCAATAATTCTCATTTTCTCAGGCACAGGCTCTGTACTGGGGACGACTGATCCCAAATTCTAGTCAGCCAAAAGCGTGATAGCTGCCATAAAAATTCAGCACCCAAACCAGCCAGGACTGTCTCAGCCACAAAGAAACTGCTATTCTACACWGCTGGCTCTTGCATCTAAGCAAGCTATGTTCTCCTAAGATCRAAATGTTTAGGCTTTTATGCCTATTTGCAATGTCACGCCTTCAAACCAAAGACCCATTTCACAGCAACCACTTCTCTGCCAACACCTTTACACTGAYACACTGCCAGTTTTAGAAACGCACAAATGCCATTTCAGGCCTGCTGAGCTGGTACATCTTACAGGCAGGAAGGTAAGAACAGTCACATTGAAACTTGAGCTTTAAGAGAGGGTCTGGTATTAACCTAAAATGCCCTCTGCTGCTAGGGCTGGGGAAACTCCACTTCTCAGTGTTGTGTTGCCTCTAATACCTTTGCCCAGAAGCTGGGTCATGCTGTCCTAGCAAAGAAATTCACACATTAGGCTCCAGTTCCCAGAGTACAGAATCAATTCTAGTTGATGTTTGTCTTTTTTTTTCCTCCTGTAACACACAAAGCTCCACTGCAATTGGAGTTTGCAGACAGGCTTTCATCACCGCTGGGAAAACAGCTTCCCATCACAAGCTCCAGATCTACAAAAGGCATCACGTGAGTGCTGGGAAAGGGAAGCCTGCAGTGCAGGCAGCCAGGGGACATACCTCCTCGTAGTTCTTTGCTTCAACACCATGCTTCATATCCAGAGTCACGAGCTGGTCCGGCATCCTCCCTGTTCCTGGAAGCATAATGAAAGGATTCCTTGTGTGAAACATTCAGCCTGCCAGGAAATCACCAGCTCTTCCCACCAGTGAGGAAGAACTCAAATCCCTCCCCTCCCCTCCATGTCTGCAGCTAACTGCGGAGGCAGCACAGTCCAGCCTAAAAATACAGAGACTTCACAATAAATCCTGGCTGAAGGAGAGCCTTCCAAAGATAATGAGAACAAGCTGTAACTAAAAGCACTGAGTGTCTACAGGATGCAAATCACTGCAAAAACTGCAGAGGATTAGAACATGAATGCCAGCTGCTATGAGACAGCCTAGTGAAAGACAAGTCACCAGAGGGACAAATATTCAACTACGAATCCCAAATTTCTCCTAACAGAAAGTGAACTAGCAACTTCTCAASGTTACTGGGGTTCTAAATGACTTTACATTCAAAGGAGAAGATAAAACTGCTCCAATTGAGGGATGTGGCATAAGGGGAATACTGACCCTCACATGCTGGAGTATCTGCAGAAACCAAGGCAATCCCTTAATCAACCGTCTCAGATACTCAAGAACCACACTGCTAACACAAACCCCAAGAGWGCAAGAGGCTTCTGAAGCTGGAAAAACACTGCCTCAGAGAAATGCATCACATAAGGCTGCAGTAACCAGCAGGGTAGGTATCTTACAAGGCTGTAGCCTCCTGGCTAGGGAAACCTGTGGTTTATAGCTTCTTTCAACCGCTATAAAGTCACATCTGAGAACATTCACAAGAGGAAAAAAATAGATATAAGATAGTCATATCACATACTCTAAAAAATGCAGCACATTAGCTTATCTCAGTATCATTCTCTACTATACCACCCACCAAGAAAATGTCTCTACATAACACATTCCCAAATCCCAGCATGTTGGGACATACAGTTGTCCTCAGCTGRCTGCCAGCAAAACACAAGGTCTGAATTTACTTAAACTACAAATTTCAGAGTCTCTCTCCAGGAGCATGTCTGATACTCACATTTTGTCTCAGAAGGCTGCCAGGTGGACACTCCCTCAGTCCACCAAGAAAATCAATGTATAGGTTACACTGGGTCACTCCAGTCAGAGCTAGGAAGATATTCCAGATCTTTGATATTACATCCCCAGTTTTTTTCTCTACCCACTCACTAACAGATCTTCAATACCAGAGTAGAATCACCTTCTACTGCTAGCAGGAAAATGAATAATYTACTGGTAAGTTGATTTGCAAATCAACTGCAAACTGTTTCTTGTGTCCTTATGGGAATGCACTATATAAGGATAAATTACAATTAGAATGGAATTCTGTTGTTTTCTTACAGAATAGTGATTACTGTAAGAAACTCCTKAAGTCCCAGCACTATTCTTTAATAGTCAATCTGTGTATAGCCCACCAGCACTCCTTTCCCCAACCATGAGTTTTGACTGCTTATGCCACAGACGTACCAGCATGCGTGGAGACAGGCAGGTAGGACAGACAACAGTAGCTGCAGAAAGTATTCACAGCACAGAGTCCAGTGAGAGGTTTTTTTAGTGGAGCTTATATTACAGCAACTTGAGCTGAGAGCTGAAGCTTGCAGGAAGAGATGAGAAAGATGAAAAGGCCAGTTAACAGAAGAACAAAACTGGAAGAATCAATTTGCTAGACTGGAAGGCAGAACYGCCAAGAGGCAGTAAGAAACCAGAAACCTTAAAGCTGCCAGGTGCAAAGGGATGGACAGCAGACATTTTGCAAGAGGTTAACGCTGTCAGGAACTGGCAGAGAACTCAAGTTGCTCTTCTACAAGTTTATTGAGCCCAAGGCAGCTCCCTTCACACTTTATCAGATCCTCAGAAACTCTCTGCTTCTCCTGCAGCCAAGCTTTACYAGAGCAGGCTGGACCAGCAGAGAGAAACCACTCAAGATTCAGAGTTCATGAATTAGACTGGTACCTACATTCCTCAAGTCTTCAAGAGGTCATCTTACACAAGCACTGAACTGTTTCCTGGGAAATTAGGGGAGCTCTCAATTTGCAAAGTCATTGGAAAAGCAGGACAGTTGAACTGAATGTCAAAAAGYTTTCCCACAGGAATTCCAGAAAAAAGTAAGTCCTAATGCTCTTAAGAAAGTTTGGGAAGGATTACAGAAGGAGCATAAAGATTAGCATATAAAAGAGCCCTAGAGGGAGAATACAGTGAAGTCAGGCTATTTGTSTGAGATTAGCATTTGGTGGGAGAGTAAATGTGCCTGGCAACAGAGCACTGGTCTGGAAGACAGGACCATTCTGCTCCGAAGAGGGTAAAACACCCATCATRCAGATACCCACAGCTCTAAAAAGCACCCTAAGAACTCCTCCACTCTGATAAGGTGAACCTTCGATATAGTAACTCCTTCTCACTTCCTCTTCCTCATTTCTGTGGTTAGGGATTGAGAAATTCCAGTTGCTTAGAACCCTTAGATCCAACGGCTCTGGGTTTCCTCTATCAACAGTTTTTCTCTTCCAACACTCCACAAACATCCTCCTTGGCTGCTGCCACAAGTTCTAATTACTTATTTGATGAGACTGTGAAAAAAACCCTAACCTTTAAAGAGAAATATGGAAATTAAACAAACTTGGCAAGTTCCCCCACTCCCATGCTGACCTTATAGAGGAAACGAGGTACTTCCTTGTGACGTGGTTACTTCTTTCCAAGTACCTTAACCAAGTCCTGCAGATGATCAAGCCTTAGTGTCACCTCCCTTACTTTAATACTTCCTTGATTTCCAGCACAGAAGATCAAGAGATCTAGGAAATTTTGAGATACTCCAGGTGCAATTTGGGGCACCAAAAAGAAACTGGCAGGCCCCTAAAAAGCAAGCCTACAGAAGAGGATGCAACTGCTCAGTTGATGAGCTCTAGATTTTGGCACCTCAGTGACCCACAGGTCATCAAAGTAGAAGCTGCATCTAGAAATACTTAATCCTCATCTGTATTGAAAGATTTAAAACAAACTTGCAACAAGGCAGTCAGGGACAAACATTTGCTACAATCAAAACAGTGGTAAGGGGCTCAGTCTAGGCAAGAAACCTCTGCTCACAAGCACCGAACTGAAGTCTAGACACAACTAAAGAAAGAAACTTTTCCCACTTCAATGTGTGATCACATGGAAGCTATGAAAAGATCTCCATGACTGTCTGGAGACTTTTCAAATACCCAGGTGTTGGAAAGTAAATAGCATGAGTGACTCCTAGATGAGTCACTAGTGCCTGCATGTCTCAATGTGTTAAGGAAAATTTGGAAGTCCTACCTTTGGAGTAAAATAAGAGTATAATCCTGAGCATTTGGGGTCACTATTTAATCTGTAAAATACTACAGAAGAGRTGTTATAAGTCAGGTTCTTCCCAATCCCAGCAAAGAATATAGCCTTCTCTTTCTGTAAAGTTCTCTTCAACTTGCAAACTATTTGCATTTTATACATAGAGCAGAAACAGCAAAACAGCAGCTGCCTTTCAATTGATATAAGGAACGCTGCTAATGAATGCTCTGTGAAACACTCTGGGATCTCTTAGGATAASATCTAAGAAGAACTGGGCCCAAAGAGCAGAACTCTGACAGCGACCTTGAAAAGGTATAGCACCTGTGAGCTTGCATGCACTCACACCACCCGTTGATGAGACTAGAGCCCACATGTTAGCCACTTTCAGCATTTYTGTCCTGAAGTTGAGCATAGGCACTCAAGCACATGCGTCACATCCACAGGAAACAAGCCTCAGCACTCGTTAGGYAACCACCCTAGTAGCACAAATGCAAAGCTGACATCCTACTCATTTCCCCTTCCCTTTATTGACCACTTCAAGAGCAGTTGTGGGGACAAATCAAGGCCACATTCCCTATACATACACAGCCCAACCTTATAGAATGGTTGTCAACTTATTCCACGATAGTTGCCAAGCATACATTGTGGATAGATCATGTTCTACMAAATGGGGAAGAAATGGCCCACTGGGGTGAAAGACAGATCCTGGAGATAATGACATCCAGCTCTGTCCTGGCTCGACTGCAAGATGGGAAAAAGCATGAAACTGGCAAAAGAAATATGATTTGCTCACTGGTCCTGCCACTCATTGCAACTGTGGTGACCTCTGCAACAGGAATGCCCGATTCCCATTTCAGAGGAAACCCAAGTGCTCTACACAACCGCCACAGAAGATTACTTCAAATGGAACACAGACAGCAGATGTTCAACACTGAGACTGGCCACACCTCCAGAAGATCAGCTTTAAAAGTCAAGAAGTGTTCTGTTGATCACACTCAGGAACACTTTACTTGTATTCCTAATCCACATGTCAACACAAATCTGATTAGAAGCTAGAAACAGCCAGCACACCTTTCATTTCACTTACCCACAGGAAGCTTGCTCTCAAAGCAGGCCTCAAACATATCATAATCTTCGGTGGTGAAGGCAAACTTGCCCTTGGTGGCATCCTCTTTGGCATACAGGATGTGCCCAGCAGAGTCAGTAATCTGTAAGAGAAAATGAGGGTAAGAAACACAGTACTTTGCTACTGTGAGCTCATGATGCCAGGGCAGGAAGAGTAATCCTAGCCTCCCCTTTGGATCTGCTGTTTTCTCCTTTCAACAGTTTCTCTCCTCATGACAACATCAATTCTTCCCCTTCTCATCCACACACGAGGAGCTGACAGAGCAACTATAAAGTAATTATTGACTCTTAGATCCAAAATAACATCAACCAACTGAAAAACAATCCCTCCCAAAAAAAMCACCAAAAAGCGATTGATCAACCAACCAAAAAAAATCCAGAACTGAAACCCACACTAATGTCACTTCCTCCTATGAATCCCAAATACAGACCACATATAAGAACTATAGCTGAACCAAACTGTCATTCATTGCCCTTGTTTTGCAAACCAAATTCATAAATTCCCATAGCAACAGAGATAGAGAGAAGATTTACAGGACAAGAGAATCACATTCCCCAGAAGATGAAATGGAGAAGGGTACATCTATTCCTCTAGAAACAAACCACGAGTCTAGCCCTGAGTTACACAAGGTTTGGGTGCCAAGATCCACAAAAGCGGCCACTTCAGAGGACAATGCAGACTACACAGACAGAATAATGACTGCTTTGCGCTAAGTCTATAAAACTACTAAGAATAGGCAAAAACCGTGGAAGGTCTACAAAAATGCTTCAACAAAGAGTATAAAAAGAAAGAACACGCATTTCATGACGCAAACCTGAAAATAATTGCTCAATTAAAGGCTCCATCCAACTGAAACACTGTGACCATGGACTGGGTGAAAAAAACAGGTGTTACAATACTGCATGAAAATGAACAATGTGTATTCCACTGGAATGCTTCCCAGTTTCCCTCAATTCTAATTTTTAACAGGTATGTCTGAAACAGCATGGAAACTAAAGTTAATAGGGGTCTTTGAAAGTCTCARAGGTGAAAAAAAACTAGAAAGCTTGGGAATAATTATAAAGGTATAAGACAAAAGTACAAAATAATTTGTGGTACGGAAAAGGTAAGTCAGACATTCTACTTTACTCCAGCCTTTTTCCCCACACAAAGGTCATGCAAAAGGGCTATGTACCCAGAACTATTCCAAGGAAACACTATTAATTCTGATTAGAGCATCTAATTAACTCTCTGCCATGGAAAGTGAAACAMGTGTGGACTTACTCATTGGATGAGAGTTGCTGCAGTAGGCAGGAAAAACAATGAAGTATATAAATTCTTTCACTTTATGGTATAAACCATAGCAGGCAAGACTTTAGGAACAAGCTTCCCCTATATACAGATTATCCCACAATTGCCTGTTAGAGGATTTGTTGTAGCTGTTCCTGCACCATACACTGTCAGTGTGTGGGCACAATGAGCACTGCTCTCCATGCAGCAGCTCCTGCTCAGAGCTGTATCTGTTTTCAAGCAGCGAGCAGATGAAAGCATGCCTGCACAGTCAGGCCCAGGCATCTGCACTGCCATCCCTTGCCACAAGGCACCAGCCACCTCCGGTYTGGAAGCCACCAGGCACTGGGAGGCACTGGGCCCAAGTGAGGAGCAGCCCATCTGCAGTAGAGGACTGTGTATGCCTGACCCAGTGTAAAAGCCTGTGATGTGGCCACCATATGGCACGTGCTATTTAGTGGTGCAGTCCYGATTACCCGAGATGCTGCATCAGCGTGACACCATACACTCTGCACACAGGGATCTGCATCACAAAAAGTGGTCAGAACTACAYAGCTCTCATATGCCCCTATTATTTTGAGCACTATTTCCTTATGGCTCTGTAGGCACCAGAGCTAATCTTTATGCAGCTTGATCCATTTTTGCCCTTTGCAGCTCATGAACAGGATTCTGGACAGTAAAAGCTCTGCTATCCCCTTTCATCAAAACTGAATAGCATTACCCAAATCAGCCAAATACACTGCCCATTCAGGCGGGTGTGCGGGGGTGGAGAAGCTGCTAATAGCCCAGCCAGAACGCCTGTGGGGGAGTCGACCTGAAAGRGATTTTTCATGCTATTCTAACGTTATTTACGGTAAGGCAATCCCCTACAGACAGGGCATTGTTTGCCCTTGACTAACAGGCCCATATCGTCGGGATCGACAATGGGGCAAGGACACGTGGCTGCCAAGAGAGAGCTCAGCCACCCGACGYCCCCCTCCCCGCAGCAGGCAGCTGGCAGAGCCCACGGATTCCTCCAAAACAGAGGGTGCCACTGTTAGCGTCGGGCTATCAGTCACACAAATCTCAGCTCACCGGCAGGAACCGAACTGAGCTCGGACAGAATTAACTACCAACCTCCTCTGTTCGGTGGCCCAATCCAACCGGCCAAAGCAGACCATCCAGTGCAGAACAGAGAGCACCCGTAGGCATGATGTCCTGAACTGACCTTTCCCACAGAGACCACAGAGAACGTAGACACCTAGCAGATGGGTTTCAATGCTTATAAAAAGCTCACCGTATTGGGAGGACACAGCATACCTGAACAATAAGAAGGAAAGCAAGAATGGCATACATTATCTTTTCTCCTTTGCAGCTTTTTGAACTATACAGGGCTTTTAAAAATTCTTTTATTTTATGGTTGGAACAAAAAGGAACTTCAATAAGCAGTACTTCCCACATACCAGCTTCATCAGCAAAGCCAACTAAGACCCAAACATGGTTCACTGCTTCACCACCTCCCTAGATAAGTCCTGTGTCATAAAAGTGAGTTTTGGAAAAGACCTTGGGGTCAAGTGACCTAAGAGTGGGCAACCTGAGAACCAGGAGGCTTGGTGACCAAGCAGTAAGAGACAAATGGGAACACGGCACTCCAACTCAAATACACGTGCCAGGTAAATACTACATCAATGTTTTAAAGCTTAAAGCTGCTTGGCTCTGCACAGACAAGATTCCTCTTACAAATGGTGCAAGAACAGAAGAACAAGATTTTTTAAAAAGCAAGACTTCAGAAGAAGCCTTCTCTAACCATAACCAAGCACAACTGCCAATAACTCAGGGCCTTCAGGCATTGCTAGGCAGATGCTGGAAAGGCAATTTGATTTCAGGAGATCTGAAATACTCAAAAACACCAAGTTCAGAGACTCCTGAGCAGACCATTCTGTCTGTTTGTTGGTGTGCTTACTACTGAAACCTTTGGGAATGCAGACAGAAACAAAAAACAGGACAGAAGGCTGTTATGAACTGACTAGGTAGCAACAGACTTTATTTAGCTAGGTGGGAATTTTTAAGAAAGCCTACAGAAGGCAGATTGTGGRCAGAATTAAAGTGAAGTTGTTGAATTAAAATGAAGCTGTTGAAATTTTGATAGCTGCCTGTCACATAGGTGCACTAGTCACATATATTCTGCCAACCCTGTACTTCCTGACGATACTTCAGGATTATTTTTTTCCCCGCAGCAAACATCTGCTTACTTAGAATCCATGCAAGCCACGACACAGCAAGATTAGAGTAGCCATTCTGTGCACCAGAACCTGGTTTCTCAGCCCCCCTTCCATTGTGCCAGAATCCCGTCGTGCCAGGCCCTACGCATGGAGGGAGCCCTGGGAAAGCCACGTCACCACAACTCTTTCMTGCTCACACGGAGTCGGCAGCCTTAGTACAGCTTTATCGCAGCGGCCCATCTCGCCAGGCGCCGGATAATCCGCATCGTGTGCGGATTATACRGCAGATGGTAGGACGGGCCACTGCAACTCGATCTTTGGGGAGAAAAAGCTCGCACTCGGCTCACTCCAGAACGCTGCCCTGGTCTCTCGCTGGCCAGCAGCCGAGGGGCTGGCGGCCCCTCGCACGGGGCGAGTCCCGCGGTGCGGCGCAGGCCGGGCCGGGCCGGGCGGCTGTGGGCTCACGCGTGGGCCGCTGTCACGCGTGGAACACGTCACCCCTTCCTTCCTTCCCCGCCCCGCACGGCCGGCGAGGGAAGGCGGGGCCGCGCCGCCCGCCCCGGCCACCCCCGCCCCCCCGGACGGCAGGGGCCGCACCTTGAGGTTGGCGGAGGGTCCGGTGGAAGAGCCCGGCGGCGCGCCGATCTCGTACTCGCCCGTGACCAGCGTGTCGCGGTGGATCTCCTCCCGCAGGCACTTCCGCGCCTTGCCCGGCAGCTGGAAGGAGATGGGCCGCGCCGGGCCCACCAGCAGGAGCAGCAGGAGCAGCGGCAGGAGCGGGGCCCGCCCGAGGCGGGGGCGGCCGGGCAGCGGCAGCGGCGGCAGCGGCATGGCGGCGGCTCCGGGTGCGGCGGGCCGGGCCTGCCTCCGCCGCACGTGACCCCTCCGCCGCCGCCGGTGCGTCACCGCGGGGCGGGGCCGGGGCGGGGCCGCCTCACGGCCCGGTGGGTGCGGGGTCTGCCACGGGCGCTGCTGAGGCCTCTCAAGGGGCTGTTCCAACGTGAAACAAATGAGTAATGGAGTTAATGCGGTAATAACGGACGGTAGCGAGCAATAATCGCTCGTKAAAGATTTGGAAAATTTGAACAAAACCAAACCGTGCTCTGAAGCAGAGGCACATTGTGARGATGGACGAGCAGTGTGAATTTCCTTGAGATTGCCTCGCAGTTGAAGTCCTTCACTGGAGAGATGCTTGTTTATTGTATGGGGTTTTTTAATTTCTGAGTAACTTCCCTCTTGACTTCCTCACATAAGAAAATTCAGTTCTATCAGATGTCTCACTTCTTTGCATGAGTTCCTTGTGAATACCATTTTGATGAAAGAATCCAAGTGGTTTTGACAGCAAATTAKGATTTTTGAAGACACTCAGAGCATCACTTTTTTTTCTGTCCTTTTCCAGCATAAACTCAGATCTACTTCTTTCCTCCTGATGTATTTTACTCTTTAGGAAGATAGCGTTAAGTAACCACTGACCACATTTGGGCTGCTGCTTGCCCTGGCGCCACACTRTCTTCATTCCCAGCCTCCCTTCCTGGTAGTGGGGCTGCTAGGAAGAACAGGCAGAAGCGGGAGCAGTGATTTGCTCTGCGGTGTAACCTGCCTTCACACAGGCCAATGGGGAGCAGAAAAATTGCACAAGTGCCTGGCTATAATCACCACAGTTACAGTCAGCTCCTGGGATCAGCTCCTGCAAATATTTGGCTGCGCTGAGATATAAGGAAAAGCAGGAAGAAAGAAATGGATAGTGACATTGCTGGAAAGCAAAATAGCTTTTTTATTTCTATTACCTTGAATAAAAAAAAAGGACACCATTGTTCCACTTTCATTCCGTAAACATCACCAGCTGTATTCTCTCTCTGGTCAAAACGTGTCTTTAATGACAAGCAATAACAAGGGGTCAGTACAAACTCCAATCTAAAGAGGCTTTAAGCAGCTAATTTCATGCCTGGGTGTTCTGCAGAGCATTTTAAAGAACAATTCAGCACTTCTGCTTACTTGTGCTCATACTTACTGAGAAAATATGATGAAGCCCTCCTGTAGGAACAGGCCCTCAGCCCAAATGTACAGTGGTGGACCGATCTCCTTGCTTGGAGGGAAATAAAAAAACCCTTCATCAAAAAACCAAAAAAAACTGACAAAAACCTCCCAAATAGACYTTTGCCCTTAATTTAAGCTTCAGTTTATTGTTTTAAGTGGGACTTACAGTCATTTGATGGACATTTCAATACATTTGTATTTCTCTTATCAGTTCGCAAACCTTCCCTTACTTGGACAATTAAATTATTTGGAAATGTAACCATAATAAAATAAATACTTGGCTCTTTCTGCAATATATCAAAGTATATTTGCACAATGAAAACATTCTTTCCATTGCAGTACTTAAGGCAGAAATAGCTATTATTTCACAAAYGTTAGGAAACACAGATTACTAGAATATGAATATATAAAATGTTGTACCATAAAATTCCTGATGAAACATGCACAGCATGACAAATCTCTTCATGCAGAACATTCCTCAAACCAATGATATGTACCCAGCCCTTTAGCATGTTTGAAACATTCAATAATGCCTTATTTTCCAGAGAAAGTGGCTCATTCATGTTAAGGTAGCCTCATTTTCTAAAATCAAAGTGAACTCAACCATCAAAGAGCAAATATATGACTGACTGCAATCTGTTCCTATTGTGGCCATTTTRTCACAGTACACTTTTAGACGAGTTACATTTATGATCAACAAATTTATCCCCTGTTTTCTGTTGTAGTCTCCTCTCGTGTGGATGCATTGTTCTAGAAACTGCCACACAGGCAAGTTCGAATCTAATTATAAAACCCCCTCAGAGAYGCATTAGTGCTTCAGTGTGTTATGAAAGAAAACGGTACAGAGCTGCTGTGAGTCTCTTCACAATCCCCAGCTTTTGGCTTTTTAAAGCACTTAAATATTCAATGGGGCAATCTCCCTTGAGTGTGCAAATTAATCTACAGCAGAGGGAAAGCACTTGAAGATCCTTTCAGCTGCAGGTTAGGAAATAACAGTCTTGCAGGGGCATGCCTTAATGTTTCCACATAGTGGAGGCTGACAAAATTAAATGCTTCCTGTAATTCAGAAACACTGAACAGAGGTGAAGGAGAGATTGATAACTTGTTACACAACTTTCCAGATGAAGCGATGACCTATTTTAGCTTAATCTTCTGTGTTGTGGGAGCTCCACAGTCAGCTGGAAGCAGGTATTCATTCTCACTGCCTCTAATCCATAGACAAATGGGTGTATCCCTAAAGAACACATTAACATCAGCTGCCAGTCACGACAAAATGCCAAAAATCAAACCATTTTGTCWTTGTATATATTTCATGTTTTCAAATACCCCTAATGCRGTTTTACTGCTGTCTTGAAAATGATGAAGAGCTAAATTAATTATTCAGCTTTCAGTTCTGCTTTAGCAAAAGAGCACCAGAAACCTTTGGATAGCTCTATAGTCTGAGACAACAAAGGCCATTGAAGAAAATATGCCTTTTCCCACCAAGTTTCTAACTTTTTCCCAACTGAAAAAGTTCACAATGTTAGCAGTAGTCAATTCCTGCTGTACTAAAATTTATCTTTTATCTATGGTAAATGGCAGAAAACAACACTAATTTGCTCTCTCTGTGAAACAATGTGTATGAATTACGTAATTAGACCTTTTTTTTTTTTACTGTTTCTGCGTCAGCTGCTGTGGCATTTTTGCATTTTTTTCTTTTGGACAATAAAAAGTTGGAACAATGTTCCTCTTAAAAAACTATTCTAGACTTACTTTTATGCTCTAATCCTTTTTCATTCTGCCTTGCACCTGGCAATCCACTACAAGCTACAGAGAAAATTCTATAAAAATTACATATGCTTTACGATGCTAATCAGTGTTTTTACTAACCATGCAAAATTATTCATCCACCACTTCTGGAAAGTGCAAGGCCACTTCTTTTAAGGGGCTATATTTGAACTCATTGCTGGGATATAACTCTCACAGTCACCGTCGTAATCACAATTCAGATAGAGATGTTATTCAATCAACTAAAAATAAATCAGTGGCTAAACAGCCATGAAACAGCACTGAACTGCTTTGCCTCTCCTGTAACCTGTCCCAGAAATCCCATATACTGTGTGCTGGCCATATAGCTAAAATAGATAGTGTTTGGGTAAGAGGCATGGAACAAAACAACCTTTAGATATCAAGAAACATAAGGTGAATCCTTTAAGAGAAAAATGATTGTTACAATATATTTATATGTAATGATTGTTACAATATATTTATATATATGTTACATATATTTATATGTATAGCTTCCATTTCACCCAGTTACTAAAGTTATTTCTATCCAAAGTACTTCAAAATCCTGCATGGATGTGAATTGCTTGAAATCAAGTGTATGGGGCTTAATCTAAAACATGAGTTCATTTAGGGGAACAAAACATCCTTCATTTAAGACGGTCCCAGTTCCATCACACACAAGCCATTTTGAGGAAGCAAGCATTCACAATTTTTCTCTCATCTCTCCCTAGTRCTTTTCCTGCTGCCAGGCAGGTTTTCAGCTTTTAAGCAGTAGCCTAACAGCCCTCTCAGTTTTTTGAGGAAATCTCCCACTTCACTTCCCAGCAACTTTCACCTACTGCCCTCCTCCAGCTCAAGGGAAGCCCATATCCCTTTCCATTCCCAGCAGATGGCTCCAGGCAAAGYCCTGCTTCTCCCACAGCCCCAGCAGCATGCACCACATTAGCTCCCTGTCCAGCAGRGGCCTGCTGGCCTTTCCTGCTCAGCAGCAACTATGTTGGGGATTAACTTTTCCAGCAAACACAGAGTTCATCTAGAAACCCCCAATCTCTGCAAGAAGCAGCTGTCTTGTTACCTTCTCTCAACCCTTAGCCCTGTACTCCTCTGACCTTGGTGATAAACATGCCTCTGTTCAGGGAGGGTAACAAATTACTGTTTMCACAGGCTTTCAAGAATCTCTACAAAAGGGCTTTTGTTACCTAAGCCACAAGTCTAAAAAAAATAGAAACTTAGGGTATTGTCTTGTCTCAACAGGCAAACTCTCYAATTTGAAGTCATACCATTATTTTTCTTTTAGTTGTGAAACACAGTGCAGGCTCACAACAACACAAAAGAGAGTACATTTAAAGTTTGGGGYGTATCGTTATAGTTACTTTTTCCCTAAAGACCAGAGCTGAGATCCGTCTGATTAAATGCACATCTCTGCATCTCATGGCACAWGGGGGCTGCATTCCCTTTCCAAGCAATGGAGAGAAAGAAGTTATTCTAGAGAGGTCTTCTCATCCTGAACCAGACATCTAAATCTGGTTCTTCAAACTGAATTTATGCTGAAATCGAAGTCTAATCAGCAGTTACATTGTGTATTGCTGCTCTGCACAAGTCTGACAGAGCTGTCTCCTTACCCAGTGTACAGCATCTTAAATAAGAAGTGGTTGGCCATGCTAGGTCCACCTCCCTGCAGCTCAGCTGGAGTCCTCACTCACCTCATCCCTGTCAACCARTGGGGACCCCCAGGCCAGCTTGCAGACCACCCAGACCAGCTCCTCYACTGTCCTCTCTCTGATAAAGGCTAGAGATGGATATGGCATAGGACAACGGAGAAGTTCACAGCAGAAAGACAGGACATATTTACTCCAGCATCAAACAGCTATGAGTTAGACCTAAGYTGAGGCCCTCAGAAGGAGACTCACTATCCTTTTTAAAACATGCACTCACTTTTAAAAATCTGGATCTTTCTGCCAGCCATATAAATTTCAATGCTTTTTAATATTGCTGAACTCTTTAATCAGATGCTTTCCAAAGCTGCTGTCCAATGTCTCTAAGATATTTCCTTAAAATCA